GAGGCGTCTTTTGGTCTTAATGGGGATTGGATTTCCAGCTCGATAGCCCAAGCCGCTTCTGGACATCTATTGCAGTCACGAGGAGCGGAGAAGAGCGCGAAGGTTCTTGGCGCTCCAGGAAGCCGCGAAAGCAGCTGGGAGATCTTTTTCCATATATAAAGCGCACCGGGTTATAAGCCGCACTGCCGGTTTTGGATCAAATTTTAGGATTTTCAGTGCGGCTTATAGTCGTGAAAATACGGTACATACTTTTCTGAAAGACACAGATCCTTTTAAAGATTAGATACGTTTTGGATTTCTGAGAAATTAGCTGTATTAGTAAAAACAAAGGTACTATCAAAAATGATCTCACGTTATAATCCAGTGACATTGACATATAAGGGAGAAACTAGAATTTAGAGATGGAGGTTAAATGGGACTCAAAAAGAATTAAGGACTATAAAAAAAGAATTGAAATTTTTAAAGAATTATCTAAATAAAAGTACAGAGGTAAGAACAAAGTGGAACACACATAAAGCTTTTACAAGAGGATAATTTGTAAACAACAACAAAGCTGATTAGGAGCCCAGAGACTAAAACATATAAAGAACAGTTGCAGGAACTGGGCATGGTTAGTCTAGTAAAGAGAAGGACTAGGAAGGACATGATAGCAGTCTTCCAATATTTGAGATTCTGCCACAAAGAAAGAGAGGAGAAACACATTTCCAAAGCACCTGAGGGCAGGGCAAGAAGCAACGAGTGGAAACTGATCAAGGAGAGATTCAACCTGGAACTAAGAAGAAATTTCCTGACAGTTAGAACAATTAATCAGTGGAATGATTTAGTCTTGATACAGGAGTAATTTCAGATGAAACCTTAGTAAGACCACACTTGGAATGCTTCATCCAGTTTTGGTCACCATATTATAAAAAAAAGATGTTGGGACTCTGGAAAGAATGCAGAAAATAACAAAGATGATGAGGGAACTGGAGAATAAAACATACGATGAACGATTGCAGGAATTGGCTATGTCTAGTTTAATGAAAAGAAGGACTTGACATGATAGCAATGTCCCAATATTTGAGAGGCTCCTACAATGACAAGGTGGTCAAAACTATTTTCCAAAGCACTGAAAGGTCGGACAAGGAATAAAGGATGGAAATTGAAGGAGGAGAGATTCCACCAGGAACTTTCTGACAAGGAGGAACAATCAACCAATGGAATATAAGTTGTGGGAGCTTCATCCCTGGAAGATTTCAAGAAGAGGCTGGACTGCCCTCTGTCAAAAATAGTATAGGGTCTCCTGCTTGGGCGGGGGGGGGGTTGGACTAGATGACCTCCAAGGCCCCTTCCAACTCTGTTATTTTATGTTCGGAGGCCGGAGGGGAGGGCGAGAGCGGCTTTGCGGGCCCGATGCCAAGCGGACAAGAGGGCCGTCAACAGTCATTGTTATACCGCCCAGATCCTTTTTCAAGGCACCCAAACTGACTACCGTTGTCACAGCTGGCAGAGAAAGGAGCCATTTGAAGTGAGGCCGCTTCCTCTCTTCCTAGAGAGGGAAACCCGGAGGCCAACCGCAGCGAAGGTGTGAGGGAACCCGTCCTCACTTAGGCCGAGGGAGAACCAGAGAGGCTGGATCCCTTCGGCCTCTGCAAGCGACACTCGCCCACCTGACGGTGCTACAGATAAAGCCCGCGAGCGCCGCTTCGGTCAAGGGAAGCGGAGCCCGGCCTGGCGCCCACCTGCGAGGGGCCGATGAAATCGTCCAGGTCAGTCAGTTGCAGAACGCCGCTGAAGGGCGACGCTACCGCCATTTTGCCCCCGCCGTAAAGCGTCGAAAAGCGCCGTAAAAGCGGGAGCCGCGCTTTCGCCAAAGACGGCGACGATGCTTCAGGGCCTTTTGTCGTAAAAGCCACCGCGAGGGAGGCGCACGAGACTCCGTCCATTCCCCTCGGGGAAGGCGGTTTGAGGGACCGCGAGGCAAACAAACGAGACTCCGCCCATTCTCCTCCTGGGGGTGTGGCGGTTTGAGGGACCGCTAGAGAGAGACGCTCGAGACTCCTCCCATTCTTGGGGTTGGCGGTTTGAGAGACCGCGAGGGAGACACGCGAGGCTCCGCCCACTCTCTTCATGAGGGAGAAAGTGGCGGTTAGCGGCGAAAAGCGCCCCACGAGCCTTTGGCCGTGAGGGAGAAATTGACCGGGGCTTTCAGGGGCTCCCCACCGGGACTAGGCTCCGAAACCTCGGACGGGGGATCGCGCGAGTTTATCTCAGCCGTCGCTGGATAAATGGAGACCCCCAATTTACAAGGCGGTCCTTTTGGCTGCTCCCCCCAAAGGGATGAAACTAACCGAATTTAATAGTCGTCTACCAGCCTTGCGAGGTAGTCCAGACACGAAGCACACCCCAGAAGGACTATCTCTGATGTTATTGTAAGGTTATATTCACTTTTGAAGGCAGCGAAATCCACCTTTTGGATAAAGAGGACCACTGGGTTCAAAGAAGGGTAAAAGAGGCCATTTAGGTTAATACTAGCTGATAACCCAATATTTATTTATCTCAACCCTCCTTCCATGAACGTTGCTGTAATTTCTATTGTTGGATTTTCCCCCTTACCAGAGGAAGCTCCCTTATGGAGTACTGTGAAGCCGTTACCATGGCAATGCCACCGCTGTGCAGTAGAAGCCACTTTAGGTCAGTATAGTAGAAGTCATTCTAAGGCACAACAGGCTGTATCTTAACAGAACACCCCCTCCCCAGGGTGTTGGGGTGGGAATAAGATTACCTGCCCCCAATTTACAATTTGGCTGCTCCAAAAAAGCATCAGAGACTAAACTAACCAAACTATTAGTCGCCTACCAGCCTTGTGAGGTAGTCCATCCAGACAAGAAGCACACCTAGAAGGATTAGTTCTTAACTTTATTGTAAGGTTATATTCACTTTTGAAGACAGTAAAGTCCACCTTTTGGATAAAGAGGACCATTGGTTTGAAAGTAGGTGTAGGAAGACAAATCCATATGTTCAGTTCCAAGATTGTATTTTGCCGCCGCCGAACCACCCCCCCCTTCTACTCTGCTCGCCCTGCTGCCAGCTGCCTTGTTTGTCCTGTGATCCTCGGGGGGGGGGGGGAAGAAATCTGGCCGCTTGTCTGTTCGGCTGGGGATTGAATGGAGAACGGAGGACGGAGCCCTGGGCAGCTTTATTGTCATTCTGCGCTCCCAATCCGAGGAGAAAAGAGGCCTGGATGCCCCTTCCTCTCCCCATCTTCTGGCCCCCTTATCATCATAGCTACCTCAGACATTGCTCCTTTGTTGCTCCCCCCGGTTATTGGGGAGCCTTTTTTACCATCTCCTTAATTGCTTATTAGGAACAATAGATGATGGCAGCTGTAGGGACGAGACCTTGGTACCAAGAAAAGTGGTGCTCTCTCCCCCTCTGCCTTGAGCAGCTGGGGCCAGCTTCAGACTTTGGCCCACCGGACTATAGACCTTATATAACTCCAGGAAAGAGACTTCCTTCCACGTGGTCTGCTGATCTCCTCTGGGACCTTAAGGGGAATAAGACTGAACAGATTCTTTCTATAAACATCAGGCATTTTTGCCTTGCCCTTTTCCACGTGCGACTGCCTTGTACACCATTGACTTCTGGCCTTCCAGCTGTGGACTTTCCTCTGGGACATAGAAGAGGGAGAAGAGCGGAGCAGCTCCCTCCTCATTTCTTACACCATTGTCTGATAGCGCACTATCGCAGTGCTCCGTAATTTTTAACTGGTATGGTGAGTGCATGGGACTTGCTTGTGATTGAATGAATGATCCCACTTTTATTATTCCATTTTATTGTATTTTATGTGTTTTAATTACCACGTGGGGACNGCAAGCCACTCCCACCCAGTCACATAACTGGAAAGCCACTCCCACCGAGTCACATGGCTGGCAAGCCACTCCCACCCAGTCACATAACTGGAAAGCCACTCCCACCCAGTCACATGGCTGGCAAGCCACTCCCACAAAGCAGGCCACATCTACAGAAGAGGTTCTAAAAAATTTCAAAACCCACCACTGCCACACAGGTACAGCGAAACAGCAAAACGTCCAGAATCCAAACTGACACGTGGCTTAGCTTACCTGCAGTTTAACTTTGATGCCATCCACATTCAAGACTTTATTCTGAAATAGAAAAAAACAAAGAATTTGGCATCAGATCATCAGCAACATATCCTCTCACTAAATGATTCCTTTGGTTATATAAAGTTATATAAACTCCCTGGTTGTTTAAGACCCAGAAAAAAGAAAAGCACCCTCAGGACTTTCTAGAGTGTCCTCGACTTACAACCATTTGTTTAACGATTGTTGGAAGTTATGATGATACTGAAAAAAACGAGTTACAGCTGGTCCGCCTCACAGAAAAAGTAGTTTCTCCCACTGCCATGAGCTTTCAGTTTAAGGCAGTGAATTCTCCACCTTGGCAAGTTTACAATGTGTGAATTTCAACTCCCAGTATTCCCCAGAAATCCACGCATCTTAAACTTGCCAAGGTTGGAAACGCTGTTTTAAAGCAACGCAATTATCAACACAGCTATTCAGAAAGAAAAAAACAACCTTAAAGCAGCAACCTGATGTTTTGCAATGGAGAAAGGGTGCAGGGAACAGACTGAAAGGGTTGCAAAGTTCAGCTTTCAAAAGAGCCTGAATCCAATTTCAACTGTATTCTCCCATTTCTGTAGATATAACTGGCTGTGAGAACAACCTTGGAATAACAAGACAGGAGGAAAAACTGGACAACAGTCTGATAAGAGAAATCAGAGTCCAAAGCAGCGATGGGATAGCAATAGCAATAGTACTTAGGCTTATATGCTACTTCACAATGCTTTTACAGCCTTCTCTAAGCGGTTCACAGTCAGCCTCTTGCCCCCAACAATCTGGGTCTTCCTTTCACCCACCTTGGAAGGATGGAAGGATGAGTCAACCTTGAGTCTGGTGAGACTCGAACTGCCAAATTGCAGGCAGCTGGCAGTCAGCAGAAGTAGCCTGCAGTACTGCACTATAACCACTGCGCCACCATGGCTCATAGGATGGAGAAAGTATTGCAGAAGGGACCCTCCATTATATGCTGGAAAGTAAGGGCTGGGGAACGGTGGAAGCACAATATTCAGTTACAATAAAAATTGTATTAGTAATCTAGTTTTGGTTTCCTGATTTGGACTACCTTGAAGGGCTGACAACATTATTGTGCTGCCCCATTACACACACACACACACACACACACACACAGAGCAAGAGTTTGCAGGTGTTTATTTAAACCCCCCCAAACACGTCCTCAAAAAACACCCCTATTGCACAGGTCTGAATTCTGAGCTCAGTATGGCAAGAGTCACTGGGTAACCATGTCCAACGGCCACACACAAAGTCCAGGAAAGCAGCCCATGCATCAAATGTTTCAGAATACACAGCACGAGCTCACAAGGCACAGGACTGGGCATATTGCTCCAGCAACGCTCAAGTCCTCGGCATGGGATTAAGTAGGCGATGCCAGTGAAGCCCTTCATGAGAGGCAAGGTTGCCTCCTTGCGAGCAATCTAGCTGACTGGCACTGTGCCTGGCTCTTATCTGCCCTACATTTTCTTGGACTGGGAAGAGGTGTGGAGTCCTCCTCCTCCTCATTGCTAACAGGCAGCAGCTGCTCCCAGTCCTTGCCTGAAGCTTCTTAATCAACTTGTTGCAGCTGTGACTCCCCTTGCTCAACTTCAGCTTGTCTGTCCTCCAATCAATGCAGCTGAGGCTGCTCCGCCAGGCTATCACTCTCCGAGCCCTGATCCTGACCAGCACTCGGCCCTGCACTTTTCTCTGCTGACTCAAATGCATCCTTCTCCTCTTGACTCACATCTGGAAGGGATACAATGAGATCAAGTATCTGACCCTGAAAACCTAAGCAGGGTTGAAGGATTTGTCTGAAATGGGCAGTGATGACTAACCTTCCGGCCCTGTTAGCTCCACTCCAGGACCAGATGGCGAGAGTTATCAGGGCCCTGGTCTCAGGCTGCTGTTGCTAAATGCCTGGTCTGTGGTTCACAAAGTTCCCCTCATCCGGGACCTAATATTAGATGAGGGGGCAGACCTGGCATGTATTACTGAAACCTGGCTGGGCCAGGAGGGAAGTGTCCCCCTCACTGAAATGTGCCCAGAAGCGTTTCAGGTGCTCCATCAGCCACGACACGAGAGAAGAGGTGGGGGAGTGGCTGCCATCATCCGAAGGTCATTAGTTCCTTGTAGGGTCCCTGCTCCAGAGCTTGTCGGGTGTGAGTCCCTGCTCTGGAGCTTGTTGGGGAAGTTGGACCTTGAG